CTTTCCTTTTTTTTTTGAAAATATGTAGGAAAATATATTTGTATATGTAGGTATATACATCAATATTTCTAACGGTTCGACTACTCGAATGATACTTAATATTGTTGAATGAAAATACAGAAACCAGTAAGGAGGGTCCTAAAATCTGGCGGAGCCGGATATTCGGTTGAATATGAAAAAATCTATCAAAATTGAGCTGATGTTACATATATGGTAGACAATAAAAAATAGGATGAAGATGTAAATCGAACCTATTCAAAATCTGAATGGTTCTCAATACTTGCTTCTAAACTGAATTCGGTCAGTTGTGTCAAAATTCATTTAGATCATTTGAATTGATACTGGGCATGGGAGCTATATCTTAATTTGAACCGATTCGTCCTTGGTCTAGATAAATCATCGTTAACAAAACTACATGAACGGACGAACTGACATGCATAAATCGACACAAAAAGTGATTCTATGAAAATCCTCAAAGGTAACTCCTCTCCATGTTACAAACCAATGCACAAGGACATAATACCCTTACGACTTTTTTATCATGCACAAATAAAATTCTCAAAATCCCTACTCATTTCTTGAAGTATTGGCCATCCTTGAAAATAATGCATTTTTACATTCACTAAATAAATTGTCTTTTTGTCTTCATTTTTAAAAATTTTTTCAATACCCATTCAATATTTCACCTTTAAATACTCATTAGTATATGAAAACAATTTGTAATAAAAATATTTATTATATCCACAAAAAGATAAAATGGCTTTAACGAATTTACAATAAATGAGTTTTAATCAATAACTGACTGACACAGAAAAATGTGTGCACACATGTGTGTGTGTGTGTTTGTGAGTGAGGGTGCGTGCGTGGCACTGGAAAAGGTAGACATTTAATTTACCGTGAATGTCAATACCGAGGAAAAAAATTAAAATTGTTCATTTGTGTCAATAACATAATTTCAAAAAGTGGAAAAAGCAATATGAACACAAACTTGGTAATGTATGGAGAACGAATTACAGTGGGTCTGTGGACAGAATTTCCATTTTGCAATTTGTTAAGTAAAACCAGTAAAGAAAGACTTAAAGTCGGGCGGGGCCGACTTTATGATACCCTACACCACTTTGCTAATTAAGTAGAGCTCCACATAACAATTAAAAGTTTTTATGGGAGAATTCAATCATACACGCTATGATTATGATTATAATTTAAAGTTCAAAGGACTAAATATGCCGAAGCATTTGTATTTTTTAAATTCGGAATTGTATTGCCCATTTGGTGCACAATTAATTTGAAATCGGATAAAGATATATATGGGAGCTATATCCAAATCTGAACCGACCTCTATAAAATTTGGCAAAGACATTTCTGAGCTGTATTTGATATATTTCCCTGAATATCGTTGTTACGGAGTGCATATTACGGTTGTGGGTAACAAATATACCAAATCGGATGAATAATATATATGGAAGCTATAGCTATATCTGAACCGATCTTCACAAAATTTGACATACTAGCTTCTAGACTCAATTCGGTCGTAAGTGCCAAATTCCATCCCATTTGGACAAATATTAGACGTTTGGTGCACAATAAAAGGTAAATCGAACGAAGTTATGTATGGGAGCTATATCCAAATCTGAACCGATCTCGAAAAATAATCTCTCGATAATCTCCAAATATTGTTGTCACAGAGTGCATATTACGGTTGTGGAGGACAAAAATAACAAATCGGGTGAACAATATATATGGGAGCTATAGCTATATCTGAACGGATTTCGATAAAATTTGGCATACTTATTGTCAGGCCTAATTTGGGTGTATATGCAAAATTCTATACAATTCGGGCTGATATTACACGTTTGGTGCACAATAAAAGGCAAATCGGACGAAGATATATATGGGAGCTATATCTAAATTTTGACCGATTATCTCCAATTTCAATAGGGTTCGTCCTTGGGCCAAGCAAAAGATCTTTGCAAAATTTCATCTGGATCGGGCAATAAATGCGACCTGTACTTTGTTTACAAAAATACATGACGGACATGCATAAATCGACTCAGAATGTGATTCTATGCAGATCATCCAAAGGAACTATGGGTCTATCTCGTTTCCTTTTGCCTGTTACAAACAAATGCCCAAAGACATAATACCCTGACTACCTTGTGGTGTAGGGTATAAAAAGATATAAAATTTCTTTATATTTGGCTGGAAAACCACAAGTGGCTATCGCTGGAGTGTTCTCCAGCATTTAAATGTGAATAAATCTTTTGTGTCTCGTACCCGACGTCAAGCAAGTGGACAGAAGAAAACAGCAACATCATCAGAAATGGTTCGAAAAGAAAAGAAGCGACTTGGTCGAAACCCGCGTCGCAGTGGCCGAAAAATGGCTCGAGAGCTGAACTTATCGCAATATTCCATCCGGCAAATATTGAAAAATTAGCTCGGGGTAAAGCCATGAAATTCCAAGAGGTGCAAGAACTTACACTGCAACAGAAAGAAAGTAGACTCAAAAGAGCTGAAGAGTTTTTTTGGTTTGGCCGAAAGTGGTGAACTGCCGAATTTGGATTTCTCCGCTCCGATGAGAAAACATTCGTTGTGCAGCAGTTTGTAAACAAACAAAATAATCGTGTTTACTTGCCAAAGAGGTCAGCTGAAAATGTGCACCTTCGGATGACCACCAAAACTCAATCGCCGGCCATGGTGAAGGTTTGGGCCGCCATAACAGCCGATGATCGCTCTCCGCTTGTATTAATCGACCGTGGTATCAGAATAAATGCCGAACATTATAGCGAAACTAGCGAAAATTGTGACTCTTTGTGGGTGATGTACCAGAAGGGGTTCGCAGATATATATCAACTTCATAATAGATCTTGTGTTATCTAAAAATTTTTTATGTGTGAAATTTGAAGAGATTTGGATGCTTATTTTGCTTTATTTTAGCCTTTTGTATTTCAAAATCTTGAACACTAAGTATGGGGGAGGTATCAGAAGAAATGGTTTATAAAAGTATTGGAATGTGTGTAATTATTCAAAATGTTGACCCTTTTTTGGGGAGGTACTTGATGGAGTAGACCGATATTGTCCATTTTCGTACTTGACCTAGAACTGATGCCAATATAAGGATTTGCAAAGTTTGAGCAAAATCGGATTATTCCTTCTCTTTATGTGCAGAAAAAAAATATTTTTTTTTTGTTTTTGAAAATTTCGACCTTTTGTGGGGGAGTTACCCGAAGAAGTGGACCGATACATTCCATTTTCACACCAGACCTCTGGCTAATAAAATTATTGGGATGTGTGAAATTTAAAGACAATCGGACTCTTACATCACATTTTATAGGAGTTGTAATTATTCAAAATTTTGACCCTTTGTAGGGGAGGTACTTGATGGAGTGGACCGATATTGTCCATTTTCGCAGCTGACCTGGCACTGATGAAAATATTGAAATATCGGATTATCCTTTCTCTTTTTGTGCAATAAATTATTTTCTTTGAAAATTTTGACATTTTGTGTGGGAGGTACCAGAAGGAATGGACCGATATTGCCCATCTCCGAACTCGATCTAAGTTTGACAAAAATATTATGATGTACCAAGTTTGGTTCAAATCGGATACTCCCTTCGAGAGTTATCGTGCGCACCAGCCAGCCAGACGGACGGACGGACATCGGTAGATCGACTCCAAATGTTCTGAAACGGATTTGGTTCAAAGAGACCTAGGGTCTAAAACCATTATTTCAACTAGGCACGTTTTGACCGTACCAAATGATATAGTCCCTCTGTAGCCATATGGCTGAGGGTATAAAAATACCAAAGTTTCGATCACCTCAAGCCAGCGCTTCGCCGGGAATGGGCCAAAATACCGCAGAGTAACATTCGGATAGCGTGTGATGGTTTCATTGGCCGTTTGAGGCCATCATTCGTGCCAAAGATGATCAATTCGAGCAAATCTAATCGTATCCTAAAATTTAATGCTATTTCCGACATTTTTTGCTTTCATTCAATGAAATAAAAAAATGTAAAAATTATGGCGTTTGACTTTATTGCAGTTTTTTTATCTCACCCTGTATGTGTGGTAACTCACGCACATTTTAACATTTGCTAAAAATTATCACACATCACATATAATGTGAAGGAAGTAGCCAATACGGTCTAAAGCTGGCACGTCGCAATATTTATATCATATTTATTTAGGTCCGATACGAAATGGACAATATTAGCCCATTCCTTCGGAACCTATGCCATGGAGATTCAACCATTTGAATAATCATAAGAAGTCAAAATGTACATCTGTCGGGAAAACCGACTAACACTTTTTAACATTTTTAATTGTTTACATTATTCGTTCTTTAAGTCTTCGTGTTTTTATGATGGAATATTTAATTTTCTCATTTTTTTGCGAAAACGTTCCACTGTACCTTTGCTACAACAACAAAACTCTAATACCTTTCTTAATAGAATGTAAACACTACCGAGACGCAAATGGAAAAGAGCCATCCTCCCTTACGCACACACATATTCATGCGTGTCTAATCAGTTGACTCCAAAGGAATGTGTGATGTTAAATCAATCAATCAAAAATGAGACTGCCGTTCGGCACGCAAATCAATTCGAAATGAAAACAATATTGCTTCCATTGCCAACTCGAATGACAACAATCTTGGCAGTATTTGCCAAAAATAAATTCAATGGTTTAAAAAACGAGGAACGAAGCCATGCAGAAATTTGAATAGATAAAAATCGAACAGGAAAGGGAAGTGACGGGAGCAGAAAGAAGACATTCAAAATTCGTAGAAAAATGGAAAATAAAAGGAAATCGAGCAAAAGACTGATAAGTGTTACAGTCAAATTTCTATTTTCAGCCGATATTTACATACATACATATGTATTTATGAATGCGTTCCTTTGTGTGTGTGTGTGTGTTTTTGCCATGTACATGGAGACACTTGTAAATGACAAAAGTAATGCCAATGACAACAAAAGAAATATTTTTTTTTTTCTTCATTGCAGGAATTGTGCCGGGGAAATGCAAAAAAATCCACCACCATCATGCGACACAAAGTGGATGACTTTATTTAAAGTTGCAAATGACAGGGAATAATTTAACGTTTATGGATGCGTAAATAGCGACATATGTGAGTAAACCGTATCACTAAAATTGAAACATTTTAAAACTGAATATCTGCTTCTTTAATATGCCATAAGCGACACCATAATCGAGAAGAATATTTAAATAGGTTTGCTTGTTTGTGACACAGTTAATATCTTAATAACTGCGTTATTTTAACCATAACTCCTCTATTATTGAGTTTTTCGCATTTTTACGGTGTTTTAAATCGTTTTTTAATGTTGAATAATTTATTTTCTTATTTTGGCCATAACTCCTTTATTATTGAGTTTTTTCGCATTTTTAGGGTGTTTTAAATCGTTTTTTAATTTTGAATAATTTTCTTATTTTGGCCATAACTCCTTTATTATTGAGCTTTTCTCATTTTAAGGGTGTTTTAAATCGTCGAACTTTTTACATTCTTATTTTGGCCATAACTCCTTTATTATTGAGTTATTCGCATTTTTGCGGAGTTTTAAATCGTCGTTTTTTAATGTTGAATAGTTTATTTTCTTATTTTGGCCACAACTCCTTTATTTTTGAGATCTTCGCATTTTTAGGGTGTTTTAAATAGTTGTTGAATAGTTTATTTTCTTATTTTGGCCATAACTCCTTTAAGGTTTTTATTTTGGTTTTGTCATGCAGTTTCTTTACCCCTGGAAGAAATCTCCCGTCTCAACCAGCACTTACACTTTCAATTATCTTGTGGTCTCCTTTTCGCCCATGCCTATGTAATCTCAGTTGTCATTGAGCCCGCCTTGCATCAAGTCGTTGATTTAATCGTCGTGTGTTACTCGGTTTTTTGTCAGAGTTAATCATAGCAAAGAGTTAAATGCAATTACCTCGTTTCGTTAATCAATAAATGCTCTAGTATTTATTTAGTGCAAGTGGTTATTCAATGTAATACTTAATATTGTTTTTAATCAAATTGTAAATTCCTTTATTGCGTAAAATAATTTTGCATTTCTGTGCTGAGAAAAAAAAGAACAAAAGAAGTCCAAGCAAAGCTAAGTTTGTGTGTGCGTGTTGAAATGTAAACAAATATTGTGTTAAGTTGTTGTTGTTGTGATTTCATTTCTCAGAGAAGTTAATCAAAAGAGAGTACGACATTATATTGTTTCTCTTTGGCTAAAGAGACGGAATTAGGAGTAAATTGAGTATCAATGGCGCATTATCTATGCCATAGATTCTATGGCGATCGCATAATAGGAAAGACTTTACTCTATTTAATGATAATAGAAATATGATTTAGAAATGTTATCCTTAGTAAGCGAGGGCGGGCATAGTCTTTTGCATTAAAAGGAATTTTTAAAAAAATGCACTCTTATTTTTATCAATCGTAAAAAACGTTTATGGCTTATCGTTCATCCAGACGTCCCTTAACCGTAACCATATAAAAAGTTGTTCAAACCAATCTTATGGGCTATAATGCAATTGATTAGTTGACATGCCATAACGCCATAGCCATAGCCGTTACCGTAGATACCAATTAAATTTTGGTTTTCTGTCACAGCCATAAGAAAACCACTGACTTTAGCATTTTAAGGAACATTTAGAAAATACAATGCTAGTTTTATCTATTTTTATGACGGAAGGTTCAATAAGACATGCAGCTTGCATATAAACCAATCTTATGGCGTATGATGTAATTGACTATTTATGACATACCAATTGAATTTTGGTTTTCTGCCGTAGCCATAACAAAACATCTGACTAGTGTTTATGTGCCATTATTTATACAACAACCTACAACACTATGTGTTGGGGTATTATAAGTTTGATTGGGCCAGAATTTATGTAACACCTCGAAATATTGGTTTCCCACATAGGAAAGTATATATGGATCTTCCTAGCTCGCCGAGCTGAGTCGATCTAGCTATGTATGTCCGTCCGTCCGTCTGTCCGTCTGTCCATGTTAATTTGTAATCACTCTACAGGTCGCAATTATGGTCCGATCTTCACGAAATTTAGAATGTAGGTGGGGCTTGGACCAGAATAGAACCCTATTGCTTTTGGAGATGATCGCCAAATGTTTAGGGGTTGAAATGGACCAAATACTGAAAAAATGTCGGATTTTGCAGTAGCTATACAGGTCGCAATTATAGACCAATCGCGGAATTTCGCATGTGGCTAGAGTTTAGGGCAGGGAAGAAGCCTACCAATTTGGGTGGTCATCGGATAATATTTAGCGGGTAAAATAGACCATATCTTTTGTGTTGAAAAAATTCAAAATTTTTCATTAAACCGCGAATATTTTAAATCCCGACGAAATCACAAAGCCATGACAAGGTTACTTCGGATCTTTACATTGATGTTAACATCCATCAAATCGGATATATAGCAAAATATCTGCGATATATATGTCTATCAAAGAAGATATGCTTGAAAGATCTCTTATATGTCGAGAACGGCTGAACTGATTTCGACAGTTCTCATTAATTCAGAATGGCCTCTTGGCAGGAAAGAAACAACGTCTAAAAAATCGCATAAAAATATCTCTCGAAAGATGAAAATATTGATTTTGTAAAATTTTCTCATATTTTTTCAATTTTGTCATATTTTTGGAATATTTTCATTTTGAATTAAACATTTGGTAATATTTCTACAGCTAACAAAACTAAGTAGTTAGGATATCAGTATTGTCAGCAGGTCGTAATTATCGCCCGATACTCACGCAAATTTGAATGGGGGTTACCGGACATTGCAAACGCCAAGCAGTTTTGGATGTGTGAAATAGTTTGCCAACTTCAATGTGTGAAATAGTTTGCCAACTTTTGTAGACAAAATACGAAAATGTCCATTATAGTGACTCTTTGGAGAATTCACAAATATAGGAAAGACACACTTCTGACTATTTCGTTAACGCTGATTTCGTGGAAGAATATAGTCAAATGTTTGTATCTCATATAGATATATAAGATAAATGTTAATCTTTTGCCACTTCTGAGAGATTATAGGTCTATGGGAAATATTGGTTCCAGATCTAGGAAGACCATTTACGTGCAACATCTACCAATAAATTGGAAATGAACAAATTAGTTAAAGTTGCTATTATTCGAAAATTAGAGAACGGAATCTGATGGTTTTCTTTTATTATTTGTCACAATATCTTGTGGAATTCTTTCGAGTATCTCGCCTATATAAACTGTATCATTTATTATAGTGTTGTAGGGTATTCAACGGTCGGCCCCGCTCGACTGTAGCCTTTGCTTACTTGTTTTCTATTGTATTTTGTAAAAATTGATTTATATCGTAATATTTTAATTTGTATGTTTCGTCATTTATTTGAATATTTTTTTTGCATTGGTAGGTATTTGTAATCTTATTTGGGAAAATTATTTTTTTCCAGAGGGACGGACTGGGTACATATATATTTGACCCGAAAGCTCTGGTTTAAGACCCGGATCTATTAAATCAATATAAACACTTGTTTTACCCATTTGGTGCGCAATTAACTTGAAATCGAATAAAAATATATATGGGAGATATTCCCCAATCAGAACCGATCTCGATAAAATTTGGCAAAGGTATTTCTGAGCTATATTTGATATATTTCCCCGAATATAGTTATTACAGAGTGCATATTACGGCTACCATTATGAAGGCAGAAGGATCCGATATCCTTTTTCGTCTTTACATACGTTTTATTAGAAACCCAAATATTAAATCACGCAGTCGGATCAATCTCTGAAAGAAATAAAGCATTATTTTTGTAAATATGGAATTTATCGTCCCACTCCTTCCGGACAATTAGAAGTCTTTTGAAATGTAAAATAATTAATTAGTGTTTCTTTTAACTCTTCATTACCTAATATCTATATTAAACCTAGTGTGAATAGTCTGAATCTTCGTGTGATTATCTGATCACCGAGAGGTAAGGCAAAAACCGAGTGAACTGACGAGGATTGGACTTGGATTGGATTCTCAGTCTTATCCCAATACAGCGTCATTTGTCTCCACTTATAAATAGAACAAGTAAAAGAGCTGTAAGTTCGGCCGAGCCGATCTTTGAATACCTCCCACCATTTGAAATGATTTTGGCAATTTTCAAAAAAAAAAAAATCGTTAAAAATTCTGTTGAAATCTTAAAAATACCGGATGTAGCCGTTATATTAGGGTCTATACGACGACGTGAACCTGCATTGGCAACTTTTGTCATAATCCATTACAATATTCAAATGCGAAACCTGAATAAAAAAATTCGGTGAAAAATGTAGCTAAAATTATCAAAATTCCGAATATAGGGAGGTACCGTTATGTTGGAGCTATACGAAGACGTAGACCTGCACAGACAATTTTCAGTCATAGGATGTAGTACCCCTTACGAACTTCAAATACCAAATTTGAAACAATTCCGGTGAATAATGTCGATAAAATCACCAAAATACAGAAAATAGGGAGGTACCATTACATGTGGGCTATACCAATAAATTTTGATGATTTATGCCACATTTTTTCAAGGATTTGTCTGAAAATTGGTATTTGTAGGTCATAATGGGTTCTAGCTCCTTTGGCGAAACATTGCATGTGTAGGTCCACGATTTGGTATAGACCCCATATAACGATACCTCCCGATATTCTGCATTTTAATGGTTTTTGCCACATTTCTTCTAATGTTTCCTTTACCCTAAGGTGGAGGGTGTTAAAAGTTTAGCCCGGCCAAACTTAATGTTTTTTTTTACTTGTTTTTGTATCGCTTTGATTTTGTGTCATCACAATAAGCAGAGCACCATCTAGATTTCAATTGTTGCTAATGGGGGGTTCATGCATTCGATAACCAGCTTGTACTCTTACATGATACAGACGTGTGGTGAGTTACTACCACTATAACTTGAGAAATACGGAACACAAAAATTATAGTTCTACTCAAAAAGTCAGTTCGTATATACTCCCAACTATGCTACAAGACAAAGGTATTACAGATCCATCAACTGAGAATATTTGTTCTGCTTGTGCATAATTTTATAGTTTGGTAGATATTGATCATCAGATTTTGCCTCGGAATTAAATCATATATATATATATATA